CCATTTAGTGACGCGTCAGAGGGCCCTGGCAAATTCACAGTCCACTTTGGTCAATGTCATGGTGACAGGATTTTAAAAATCATGCATTTAGTGATTTTAGCTATTTCCATCTGAAATGTCATGGTGGTGTAACTGTCGGGGCCCCGGCCCCCAAAGGAATACGTGGTGTGTGTGTGGTGATGGTGGGGGGTGGCGGGAGTTTGCAGGGTTATAGTGTGCAAGATTGTGCAACTGCTACCTGTACTTCTGTGCTGTTGCTGGGGGCAGCGCTGCCTTCAGAGCTGGGCTCCCGGCCAGCAACTGCCCCTCTCTGACCTCCCAGCTCTGAACTTACCACAGAGGTAAGGATCGCAATACCGCTGTCCTCTAACCTTGCAACAACCCCCCCACCCTCCCATCCCATCCCTTTTGTGACCAGCCCCGCAATTTGAGCCTCCCCCATGGAATCTGTGTAGCATAGGGTATAAGCACAGAGAAGAGCAGATTTCACAGTCTGTGATGCATTTTTCAGGGCCACGAATAAGGCAAGACCCTACCCATTAGCAACCAGCAGAGAGAGTTGCTGCGAGCAGTCGCAGATGGGTCACACGCAGTTGCAGGCAGTCCCACCGTCTCCTCCCCTCCGTAACCGTATCAAGCTCAGTTCGGTGTTTGGCCCCCACGGCTCCCCTTGGAAGGCTGTTCCACAGCGTTACTCTTCCGACGGTTAGGAACCATCCCCTCATTTCAAGCCTAAACCTGTTGGGCCAGTTTTGTATCCATTTGTTCTTGCATCTGCAGTGGTGTGTAACTTAAACTGCTCTCCCTCCCGGGTGTTTACCCCTCTGCTGTATTTACAAAGGGCAGTCATAGTTCCCTTCAGCTTTTGGTTAGGCGGAAGGAGCTGACCTCCTCAAGTCTCCTCTCAGAAGGTAGGTTTTCCATTCCTCGGATCATCCCAGTAGCCCTTCTCTGCACCTGTTCCAGCAAGGAATCATGGCCGCATCCCAACACGTGCTGCCCCATCTGACTCTGAGATGGCTGTGGGCCACGTTTCAGAACTCTCTAGGCTATGCAGCCAGCCCCTGTCCTAATCCGAAGGCATGTAAACACTAGGGCTCATTTCTCCCCTTCCCTCCTCTACTTCATGTTCCCAGCAAAGGAGCACTAGTCTCAAAACAAACAAACACAAAATGTCCTTCAGACCCCAGAGTCGGCTCCTCACCAAATAAGGAAGGTGGCATTTTGGGTCTAACTTCAATCGTGTCCCTTTAAGCAGCCAGTTCGGAGAGCTGCTCTCTTCAGAACAGAGGGGCATGGTTGGTGCCTCCCTGGTTCGCCTGAGTTCCTGCTGGGGAGAGCCTGAATTCTGCAGATGTCTGCTGCGTGGTCCAACAGCCCATCGCAAACCGCAGGAGGAATCCAGAAGATGGGGATTCTTGCTCTTTGTTTTCACGATTCTCCTGCTGCTTTAAATTAAACGAATGCTGCTGCATTAATCCCAAAACGGAATTTTCGAGACCTTTCTCTTCTCCCCCCATGAATGAGCACGCGGCCGGCCTTCCTGCTTCCCGGGGACGCCGAGTGAAAGGTAGGAGGATTCCAAACAGCAGGCACAACTTCTGTTTTCCTTTTCCTGGACTTGCACCCCGTCCGTGAGGTTCCTGGCACAGAAAGGGACACTGGCTGGTTTCTGCTCTGGGGACTCCAGTCAGGCTGGGCAGGATGGGTTTGGGTTTGGCCGTTTGGTCCTATTTATACACTAGCTCTAGCCCCCATTTGTCTTCCTGACAGCTCTCCCGAATTGATGCTTGTGAGAACTTAATTACAGCTCTGTTCTGCAGCAGGCAGGCAGGCGCCTCACTGCAGTCTGCAGGTCCTGGCAGTCCGCACTCACCCCCCTGCTCACAGCCAGGTGCACTGAGCCAACGGTGCAGGGGGCAGGACCCACAGTGGAACCTGCCTGCTGGGTGCAGGGGAAGGAAGGAAGTCCGAGGGCTGTGGCTCCGCATTCTGGCCTGTGTTTGGTTTTGATCAATATATTTTCCACCCTGCGTGGCTCGGGTCAGCTGGTAAAAAGATGCTGCAGATCTGAGATGGATCCTGGCTGTTCCCAAGTAAGATGGGGAGGAGATTTTGGAGAGAGGGTTTTGTGGATGGAATGGAAAAGGGTGGGGGTGGGGCTGTTCTCATTGATTCGCAGGGTGACGTTGGCACAAAACTTATTTGTATTTGCTTGCAAGAGCTCACCTCTAGCCCTTCTAAGCTGTCGGTTCTCTGGCTCCAGTTGCATTACTTAGGAAACAGTGGGGATTAGCGATGGGGGTTGGGTTCATTTGGTTGGGGGGGGTTGTTACTGCTGCTTTCCCCTCCAGGCTCCTGAACATTGTGCTGAGTTTCCAGGGTTGTTAAGTACCATTTTGCTACCCCTCTGCAGTGAGGATATGCTGGTGTTTCCTCTCCAGGCAGCATACGACTCAGGGCCTTTTCTTCAGAAGCTCCTCTACTGTTCCGAGTCTTGCACATGATGCATCTATTTATGATGGGTTTAAATACACTGGTTTGGAGGTGGCACATAATACTGTCCAGCTGCAGCTCTTCTAGGAGACCTGTAAGATTTCCGTTGCCCGGTGATCCTGGGGCAGGTGACGGAGTCTAACCAGGGAGAAGAGGCATGACATACAGGCGGATCAGGTGATGTCTGGGGACATGTCTTTGCTCTGTTAAGTTTCTCTAGTGGCTCCATCTATGGTAGCAGCTGAGTAGAAGGCATGTGTGTGGGCAGCTATGGAGCGCCCAGAGATCAAATGGCAGCCCGAGAATGAATAGCCCTTGTATGGCAGGGGCAAAGCCACGTCTAGGGAGTGAGAGCCGTGTTCAGATTGCCCACACGTTGGTATCTGGGGTGTGGCTGGCTCAGCTGCTGGCTGGACATTGGTCGCAGGGCCAATCTTCACTTTTGTTACTCCCCAGGTCAGAATGGCACCGGGCAGAAAGGCAGGGGAGTTGTTTGCATGGCCCAGCACTGAATGCTGCTCTCGCCCTTAGGCATAAACGCCCAGGCTCGGAAGCTGCAGAGGAACCGGGCGAAGGGCGCCATGACCCTGCTGACAGGGTGCAAGCGACACTCCCCGCCACCAACCCTCCGACGCAGCGTCAGCGAGACCAGCCTGAGTCACGTGGGCTCCCCCGAGGAAGAGCTCAAGAGACATTACTCCACGCTGCCCGAGAACGTCCGCGGCCTGGAGAGCTCGAGGGAGGAACAGCAGGCTCCTCCGGCGGAGCAGAACGGCAGCAGCATGCGGTACTCCCTCTACCAGTCCCCTCACCTCCTACTCCTGCAGGGCTACAGCTACCAGCATGTAAGCACCCAGTCTTCCACGCTGTGAGGCTTTCCTTACACCCACGGTCTGTGCGCTCCCTCTGCCGCCCATGCTCATCCGCTCCGGACAGTCCAGCAGGTCCTGTAGGTCCCTGGGGGACATGTGGGTTTTCAGACACTGAGGTGCTTTACTGCGCGGCATTTGCTGCTGTTCTGGAGCCCAGAGACCTACTTGGAATGTGGGCAGCTGCAGCTCCCTGCCCAGGGAAGGGAGATCCTAGAATTTAGCAGTCTGGCCAGCAACCCAGCTCAGCCCTGGGTTGTGACGGTTCCGGGATCTACCCCTGCTATGGCTCTACATTTAAAGCAGGGTTACTTAAACACAGTCCATGGGCTGCATGTGGCCTGCAGCCCGTTTGTGGCCTGCAGTGCGGTTAGGGTTTACGCAGGGCTCAGCATGCAGCCCACAGGTGGGATCCTTTGGCCTCCACTGAGAACACAACAGCGAGGCATTTCCCACCTGGAGTGAGCATTGAAAGATGCCAGCGGACGGGCTGGCTGGAACAGATGGGTACAGGGCGACAGCGTATCTAGCCCTCAGGGAGGAGGTGCCGGGAGCGCTGGGGCATTGTGGGAAGTGCTTTGTATTTATTCCCGTCAGTGTGAAATAAGCTATTTGCATATATTTGCATGTACATGCAACCATACTTAAGTTGCGGCCCTCGGCATGAACTGTGAGTATCACTGTGGCCCCCGGGGCTTCCAAAGTTGAGTAGCCCTGTCCTAGAACAAAGTTGCTAGTAACCCCTGCAGCCGCTCTTGCTGGCTGCACGTGTGGCTTGCCCCTGCCTGGTGTTTTGAGGGAGAGTCGAGTTTCCTGAAACAATATTTAAGCAGTCTCTTGACTGTGCTGCCAGGGCGCCTGCCTGTTTGGAGCGCTGTTCTCGGCTACTGTTAAAAGTCACTTCTCTTTGGAGCCAGGGCAAAGCTGTGATATGGAGCACGCAGGCATGAGAATCCGCTGCTCGGGTCAGTCCAGTTCTGCTCACCCGAGAGCCCAGGAATAAGGGTGGAGAGGGCACAGGCAGCCTGAAATTAAGGTCTGCCCAGAGTATCCTGGGTTTGCCCTTTGGGAATGTCCCATAAAGCACGATGGTTAATGCAGTGTGAAGCCGCTGCACTACATAGCGTGCCATAGTGCAGTATAATAAATACCACCCAGGCTTGGCGAAGGCACTGGCCAGGGTGCCTGTGCCAAGCAGAATTAAAAATTTCTTGATAAAAAGAAGCCTTCGTGTGTGACATAAACCCACAAAGTGCCGTCAGCCTGAGTCTGCAGCCAGGCAGCCTGCAGTGACAGAGCGCCACACGGCTTCCATTGGCTTCCAGGGGGTCTTACCTCTGTCGCCATCTGTGCCAGTGTAACACCCCACCAAAGTGATACGTAGCTGGGCAGTGGGGGAAATTTCAACCCCTCCCCAGACCGAGTATGCACTTGGAGTATGGCAGCAAACAGGTCTCATCTTTTAGCTACTGACCTGCTAGCTGGTTTTTCAAGGGCTGAATGCCAGAGTTTGCTAAGATTTCGTGTTCTGTTCTGTGGAAATACAGACCTGATAGTCCTTGCCAGATGGTATTGTGCTACCTCTGCTTACTGGAGGGTGTACTGCCATCTTCTAGAACAACTACCACCATTATTCCCATTTTACAGATAGAGGAAACAGGTACAGAGTGGTTAAGTGAACTGGCTCATGTCTCACAGCAAGTCAGTGGAAAAGTCAGGGACAGAGTCTTTGTGTTCTAGTTCCCTGTCCCCTGCTCTTACCACTACATCCCACTGCCTGTGCAAGAGAGAAAGAGTCCTGCTCTAGCCTCACGCATGGAAATCAGTGTCAGATGCACTTGTGTAACTGAGGGCAGACTTAGGTTCTGTGTGATTTCATCTTAGCTGCTGCCTGCTTTTGTAGCCCGAGAAGGGAATTGAGAGGGGAAGAAAAAAAAAACTAACAAAGAGCGAATAAAACTCTCTGGTCTTAACCTTGCAGACAGCAACACTCAGAGTTCTAGAGTGTCCCAATTCCAGTCAGGGAGTGGCACTGAGCAGTGATTAATGGGTTTATACTTACCTGGAATGTCGAATTAAGATATGCAACTCCAGCTACGTTAATTGCGTAGCTGGAGTCAATTTACCTTGATTTGACATTCGGCACCATCTCCACAACAGGAGGTCAATGGGAGAAATGCTCCCATTGACTTCCTTTACTCCTCATGAGGAGTAGGAGTTCCAGCATCACTGGGGATACCCTCAGCGTTTGATTTAGTGCGTCTTTACTAGACATACTAAATCAAACTCTGGAAGATCGATCACCAGCGCATCAATCTTCCAGGAAATGAAGAATTCATTTGAGTTAACATGGGAGCATGCTGATGGCCAGACCAACTTTGTCCGGAGAATGGGTGTATAGGACTGCACGCTCTGTTAGTCACGTAGAAGTGGTTGGGGGCAATGAAGGAACTATCTCTTAGTGTTTGCAAACTAGCGGAATATACCAGATTTAGTGGGTCAATTCAGCTGTTTGCTCACTTGGCAATGCATCCTAGGAGTGGTAGTTCACTCATTCTGTATCCATACACTCAAAAGGCACTGTTAATCCCGATGTTAGTTACTGGCACTCATTATGCTGGAGTAGCTATCCAGTTTAAGAGGAGTTATATAACCTTCCTCCCGAGCTGTAGTTAAGGGAGATGGATGTAGGTTGCACAGCGACCTGGATAATGGTACCAAATGGATTAGCAGGTTTGTGTAGGGATGGGATAAGCACAGTATAGTTACACAGCAAGTGCCATGTAAATTGAGATGCATGCTAATTTGCTCCGAGTCCTCCTGTCTCTTCTGCTGCATGAGTCACGACTCCACGAACTCAAATGATAATCTGGGGAAAGCTCTGCAGTGATTGGAATAAAAAATAGTGCTGCAGTGCAAAACTGTGAGCTGTGGGCACCCAGGGAACTGCAAGAGGCCACGGCACTGAGGAGTCCAGGCGTGGCCAGAGGGAAAACGCTATTTTAATGGCTTTCCACCCTGTCAGAGCAAGTCACTTGTGCAGCTGCTCACAGCTCGGGTCTGCTTTGCTACCTGTTTTTATGCTTGCGTAACAGGACAGACACCGTGGGCCAACGGACTCAGTCCAGCAAACCCAGCATCAGCCTCTTCGCCCCAGACATCCTGCCCCTTCACTGCACCATCCGGCGGATCAAGATGTCGAGCCGCTCCCGACAGCGTTCGGAGGAGAAGCTGGTCCTAGAGCCCATCCCGGGGGCCAGTGTGTCCGTCAACTTCTCCGCAGTGGGAAGGACGATTGTGCTGCACCATGGAGATCTCCTCTCCTTGGGGCTTTACTACCTGCTTCTCTACAAGGACCCCGTGAGGGCCCAGCCGCTGCCGGCCCAAACGCTGATGAGGCTGAAATCGATGCACCGAGCCTTGGACCCCGAGGCACCGGTGACTTGTAGGATGTGTGGCAGCCAGCTGAAAGAAAGGGGCTCCTCCTCCAAGAAGCACGGGCCCTCCCCCATTTCCGGACACCGGTCAGCCAGGAAGAGGCTTCAGCTGGAGTATGAGAGAGCTGCCGAGGACATGCTGGTGAGAAGGATCGTGACCTTGATCGAGCCTGGGGGCGACGACCACAAGTTGACGCCAGCCTTCCTTTTGTGCCTCTGCATCCAGCACTCTGCCACCAGCTTCGAGCCGGGTGACTTCGGCCAGCTGCTGCTCAAGTCAGCCAAAATGATTCAGAGGACAGTGTGGGTCAGTCCGTGAGCTTTCCTAGGGGAGTCGGGCGACAGAGGGTAGTGCCAGGCAGTGTTCCCTCTAAGCCATGCGGGTGGGTGGCCACCTGGGAGAGATTCCAATGCCGATGTGATTAGCTGATTAGCAGAGCCCTCATAGCCAGCTGCATGTATTCCTATGGGTGGTACACATTCGCACATGCCTCGGTGCACATAACATTTATGCCACACAGGGATGGACAAAATAGAGGGCACCTAGGGGTATTGAAGGGTCTCTTCTCGGAACTCATCGCCTAGGGTGGGGCAACCAAACATTGACCATCCAAGGGCCACGTGGGCAGCTCCAAGAAGCAAATCGCCACCATCCCGCCCTGTCACACAGTCGTGCAGCCTTCAGGCTTTGAGTCCCAGCTCGCGAGGCTCTGTCTGTACATCCAGCTCAGCAGCTCTTCTGGATTAAAGAGAGTGGCAGCTCTGAGCCACGCTGTAGATCCTATGTAATTCTTAGAGGCTGGCAGGCCTTGGCCGCTCCTGTGAAGGTTTCTTACTGAGGAGCCCACCCTGTCCATCACACCCGAGCCTCATCTCTCCCCCATCCCAGGGGTTTGGGCTGATGGGGTTGCTAGGGAACACAGATGGGTGGATATTGCTGGGGTGGGAAGGTGCAAGGAAAGGGCAAACCCCAGTTAAATGTTTGATATTCAGCCCCTCCTGGGTCAGCTGTAACAACAGTAGGTGGGGTGGCCCGTGGCTCAGCATTGCTCCTCCTTTCACAGCCCTCGGAAGTGCCCACTGCCGGCTGAGTGAACGGCTCGAACCTCCTGCTGCTGCTGCATAGGAGAAGTCTGGTTTGGCAGGCTGCTGCAGGCCAGGGTCATTGTGTTCACTGTCTGCCTGGTCACTGGGCAGACTCGCCAGCTACCGTGCAGCACCGTCCTCCATGTTGCTGCCTACCTGCCCTGGAAGGTGTGGGGAGGAGATGGCACTTGCTTTAACTGAGTGGAATCAGTGTTTGGGGCTGCCCTCCCTGTCAGGGATCACTTCGTTCTCCTGCCGCGCCACCCCGGCCTTGTTTACACCAGACTTCGTTTCTCACCATTGCTACCCAGATGAGGCGGCAGGCCACCCCCAGGCTACGTCTACACTTGCCCTTTTGTGCAAAAGTTTTTCGGAAAAAGACTTTTGCCCGAACGGGAGCAGCATAGTATTTCCGCAAAAGCACTGACAATCTTACATGAGATCGTCAGTGCTTTTGCGGAAATTCAAGCGGCCAGTGTAGACAGCTGGCAAGTTTTTCTGCAAAAGCAGATGATTTTGTGGAAAAACGTGCCAGTCTAGACACAGCCCATGAGTAAAATACAGAGCCATCATGATCAGCAAGTGGGACTGCTAGAGCAACGGCTGTTCAGTCCGAGGCAGGGGGAGAGAAGGCGCAATCATCAGCTGAAAAGGAACCAACCACCAAAGGGAGAATTAACTCTGGCCCAGGTCGGCCAAGGGGCCAGACATCTAACGCCCGTTGATTTCAAAGGGAGTTGGGGGCCTCACTGTCTACACTAGCCACGGTGGCTAACATGAGTGCATCTGTGGTAGCAGAGGGGAGAAGTGTGAAGGGGAAGAGCGCGGGTAGATAAAACCTGAGAGCTGGTGCCGCAAATCAGAACTGAAATAACAGTCATTCTGGTGGGCGCAGTCAGACAGCCACAGGAGTCCCAGTGGGCAACGTAGCCTGAAATAAACACCTGCATATTGTACAGTGTAACAAAAACCAAGGCTGTATCTGCGTAATTATATTCTAGGCAATTGCATAGTTTCCGTCTCCCACCTTCTCTCCCAGCCCGTTCCTTCTTGTGCTCTTGCAACATATATTGTAATTATATTACAACCGGAGTGCGCTGGTCGCCATGGCATCTGGGCGGGGGTGCCTTTCACTGAGCTGCCCATGCTCAACAGCTGCAGTAGCTAGAAAGTGCCTTCGATATGCAGCCAGTCTACAAGAGGTATTTTCAATATAATTTTTGGCATGAGGAGAAAAAAAATTAGTGACTGAAGTTTTGCTCTGCCTTCCAACAAAGCACAGCATAGCCAGCCCAGTCAGTCCCTGACAAAACTATACCAAGCTCCTGATGCAGATAGTACTGTTTCCTCTGAGTGTGTGCGTGCATGTTTGTGTCCTTGTCTCTCTCTCTATTATGATTTTCTCATATTCACTTGTGCTTTTTCCTCCCCATCTTCCTAGGAGAAAACGAAAGAGCTGGCCGAAAAGCAGTCCCAGCAGTAAGTGTCACCTGTCTTTACTCTCTCTGCCTCCCTCCTGCCACACTCCTACTTCCTCTTATGAACAGAGAAAGAGGTTAGCACCTGGTGGGCCCTTGCTGCTGCATTGACCTGCACCTCCACAGGTATGGGCGATGGCAGCTCCCATTGGCTGCAGATCAGCATTCCCAGCCAATGGGAACTTCAGGAAGCAGTATACCAGTCTGTGCCACTTCTTGCAGCTCCCAGTGGCCAGGAATGGCAATCTAGAGCCAATGGGAGCCACAAGCAGCCATACCCACAGAAGCGTAGGTAAATAAAGTGGTGACGGCTCGAAAAAGGGCTAATCCTGGCTAACCGCCTGTCTTATTGCCCACCCCTGTGTGAGGATAATTCCCAGCTCCAGGAGACATGCTAGTATTACCTCTCATGCTAAAATATGGAGTATAGCCACAGCAGCATGAGTAGCCATAGGGGCTAGCTGCCCAGAGCGCAGGCCCACCAAAGATCCTAGCTAGGTGTGTACTAGGGCCAGCTCTGTTTTTAGCATGCTAGCCTGCTCAGAGCTCATGCCAGTATGTCTCCTCTGGCTTGGAACCACTTCCACAGTTCAAAGTGCAGGCATGCCCTTAGACAATGGAGTGCGAGCATCTGGGCCAGCACTGGGGGCCATTAAAAAACAACCTAGGCCCTTAAAGGGCAAATGGTAGGTGAATAGAGATTTCCCTTCTCATTATTTCATAGTAACCCCTTGGGGCCCTGTTGTGTTTGACATGTAGTGACAGTCCCTCAAAACTTAAATAGGCAAAGGGATGGGAGAGCAAGTATGGAAAGATGAAGTGACTTTACCCTAGGACACTTACCAGAGCTGAGACTTGAACCCAGCTGTCTTGAATCCCATGCGGCGCCCTAGCCACTAGGCCATGCTGCCTTTCAGCCCCATTGACACACTCTTACACCAGGCACCTGCACATGCATTCTTCTGCGGTCATGTGATTCCTTGGCAGTCTGGGTTTCTTTGCACATGGACTTGAGGTGCATTCATGCCCCGAATGGGTTAATTGCCTCTCTGCTTCCTGTGTTTGTGCTGGAGCCAACCCCAATTTGTCCCCCAGGGACCTGGTGTTGTCCTACTTTTCCTCACACTATTTTCCAAACATCAAAAGAGCTAAATTAGTAAATTAATACTCCAGAACACCTGACTCTGCAGGGCTGCATTTCCCCCTGTCGTGTGAAGTTGTGCAACTGTGTGTTTAACTCTTGCACGCTTGCCGTTCGTGCCTGCAGTGCCAGCTATCACAAGCAGCAGGGAAGCCAGCCACGGTTGTTAGATTTCTTCGTATTAAAAGCAAGATCCTCAAAAGTGGGATCTTGCTTTGGGTGCACTTGACAGGAGCCTGATTTTCAGAGGTGGGTACTTTGCACTTTCTGCAAATCCAGATCCTTTTCCTGGTATCTTAAAGGTGGACACTCCCAAAACTAAAGCCCCAAAATGACTAGTCTCTTTAGAAAACTTTGGCCCTGAGTACATATTAGACCCTGTGGAGGTTAGATTTGGGGAGTGTCACCTTAAAGAGGGAATAAACACATAGAGTAAGGACAGAGAAAGGGGATTAAAGTAGAGGATACAGGAGTTCAAGAGACTCTTTGGTACTGTGAGCTACATTCCATCCTTACATATGCATATGTGGTTCCCATTGCAGTTAGTGGCAGCTATTCACAGGTGTCCAACAGCAGCAAACTTGACGATGCCCCTTTCCGTGTACGGAGCTTCCATTGATTCCCTTGTGTAACCGTGAACTGCAGGGGCATAGACACACTGACCATTCGACAACCAGGAGAGAAGGTGTAAACTCCAGGCTGAACTGTAGGGCAGCCAGACGACTTGGGGCTAAGGAGTTTCATGGGGTTATGGTACATCACAATATGCTAACGATAAACAAATCCATCTGTTATTGTTCAGCTCCTTCTGGTCGGGGCTGTGTAAAGGTGCCGCTTCGTTATTGTGTTGTGTGAGCAACCGTATACACATAGCTACCAGGAAGTATTTTTGCCCAAAGTCCCTGTTTTTCAGTGGCTTACACCATTTCTCACGTATCTTTTGAGGCTGAAATTCTTCAGGATTGTTCGAAGTGAGGGTTTTTTTTATAAAGCGATCAGAAATCCCCTCTGACCATTTTTGAGTTATTGTAGCATAGAAAAAGTGCTTTGTCAGTTAAGAAATTTTCAAGGTTGGTTTTTGGTTTGTATAGGCCCTGGGTTAACTCAGGAGAACCGTGATTAACCCGTTAGAATTGACACGTGCGGAACATTAGTCTCTGTGCAATGCTGCTTTGTTGTTCTGATTATTTATTATCAGGATTAACTTTGATTTAAAAAAACAGGTGGTCCCACATCCCAGAGCTCAGCGTCCCCCTGGCAGCCTAGTGGCCCCTTGGGTTGAAGGGCTAAAGAGAGCGTAGTACCCCTGGATCCCAGTGATGCTGAGGCTCATGTGTAGGGTCAGTATGTGGGAAGCTCTCCCCTCTGCTCTCTGCACTGTACTCAGCCTCTGGAGCAAGAGCCAGTCATCAGCCTTGAATTCACACAGAATCCCAGGTGGCTGTAAACAGTCTGCTCGGTGTTTGCAGGGCTCTATAAAGGGCCTGACCCCAAGAGGAGCTGAGTGTTTTCAGCTCCCAAACCTTTCCCATAGCCAGGCGCCTCGTGTGCACAGAGAGACTGATACTGCAACCACCTTTGTCCTGATTGGAGTCTGACACTCTCCTCTTGTCCTCTCTGTCTCGCTAGGCAGGATCCTGGATCCCTGTCCCGCTTCGCTGTCACAGACCTGCTCCCGGACCTGCAGCACATTCTCTTCTGGATGTCCAACTCCATCGAGCTCCTGTACTTTATCCAACAGAAATCCCCCATCTACATCCAGAGCCTGGAGGAGGAGCTGGATGTCAGGGGTAGGATTCACGCTTTGTGATACTGAAACGCCTCTTGGAGGAGGAGCTGGATGTCAGGGGTAGGACTCACGCTTCATGATACTGAAACGCCTCCTTGATACAAAACTTCCCCTGCCATGTGCCCACTGTGTGAAATATCAGGCAAAGGGGGGAGGTGTAGCATCACACTGGCTCGCTGGTGTTTTCCTCTGTTGCTGCTCCAGCAGGCACCTCCAGCCTGACTCCAGAGACTACCATGTTGCCTCTTTATCCCAGATATGCCCTTAGGTCTATGTGGGGGTTTGTGGAAGGTAAGGGAGCTTCACCCAGAGGCTACGGCTACTCTGCAGGCTTCTTCCGCAAGAACTGTTTTGCGCAAGAGTTCTTGTGCAAAAGGTCTTCCACAAGAGTGCGTCCACACTGCCCTAAGAGTTCTTCTGCAAAAGGTCTTCCACAAGAGCGTGTCCCCTCTGCCACGTGCACTGCCATGGCAGTGTGGACGCTCTCTTGCTCAAGAAAGCTCTGATGGCCATTTTAGCAAAGGGTTTTATTGCACAAGAAATTCATGTTGCCTGTCTACACTGCCTTCTTGTGGAAGAGCTCTTGTGCAAGAGGACTTATTCCTTGTGGGGAGAGGAATAACTCTTCCGGAAGAAGCCCTGTTTTCCGACGCTGTACTGTAAATTTGCTTGCACAAGAATGCGCGTGCAGTGTAGACACTTTGCAAGTTTTTGCGCAAGAACAGCTGTTCTTGTGCAAAAAGCCTGCAGTGTAGACGTAGCCATAGTGCCGAGGGCCCTACCAGCTCTCCGGGGCCTTCTCTGAGCAGATGCTTGAATGAATAAACTGTGGTGCCTTTTGTGGTGTGTCCACTGGCGATTGATTGTAGCTTGCGGAAGCCAGACAGTACTGCTGGGCCTTTGCTTTCTCAGCCACCCGCTGATCAATGCCGAGTGCAGAATTGCTCCCTGTGACGGATCTAGTTCTGGGCGCCAGCACACAACCCCCTCCTCGGGGTCACAGCCCAGCGAGCCCGCCATCGGGTTCCTACGGTTTCAGAATTTCGATGGGCGCAAGCTCCCAACGCCCTCCCCACCTGTGCCCAGCGAGCCCGGTGCTCCCAGTTCCCCTCCTGGGTGTCTCAGTCTTTCCCCACGGTTCTTGGGGTGGCGGTGCCTCCCGTTTCCTTCTTGCTCCCTTCTCTCCCGCGTTGGGTGCAGCCCAGAGGAATCTAGGGGACTAGGGGGACCCGGGCCCACCCTCTCCACTGGGTCCCAGCCTGGGGCCCTAAGGGTTTGGGTGCTGACCCTTACCCGGCTGACGGGGTCCCACCCCGTAACGCATCAACCCACGGGCGCCAGAAGGACCCTGCCCCGGGCTGCTTCCTAGCCGCCCTCAAGTCTGCGGTTTCTGGGCCCAAGCCGGCGATCCTTACCTCTTCGTCGGGGTGGAGCAGGATTCTGCTCCGCAGCTTCCCCCCATGTCCCATCTCCCTGTCTCCACCGGGAAGGGAGGAATGGTCTCCCTGGCGTCCTCCTCCTTGCCCTGGCTCTGGGGTGGCTTTTGAACCTCCCGCCGGGGGTCATGCCGTCTCCCTCATCCCCGCCCCTGGCGGGGCCGGCGTCCCTGCGTTGGGACACAGGGGGCGGAGTTGCGTCTCGGCGCCCTCTGCCGGGGGTTCGTCCGTCCAGCCCGGCTCGCCGGCCGGCATTAATCCCTGTGGCCGCAGGGCTCCGCGCCTCGCAGTGCTCGGTGGGCGCGCCTTCCCGCCGGTGTGCCGGCGAGGCAGCCCCTCCCGGGCACTCTTCCCCAGCCAGGGCCACTGCCTGCCCCGTGCTAGTGCGGGCTGCTGACGGCCCGTCACACTCACCCATGAAGTTGCAGGTGTGAAAGTAAACAAGGAGGCTGAAGTGAAGTCAGTTTTACAATCAGGGGTTGGGTGTTTAAAACTAGAGCAGGGTTCAGAGCACAGGAGGGCCCCTTTCAAGCACATGTGAAAGGAGGGTGAAAGCAAGTGCCTTTCCCAACTGGCGCAAAACCAAAATCAAAACTCGCCTTCTTCCTGGGATTTGGGTTGATTCGTAAGAAGATAGAGCTCAGATCAAACATTCCCCGAGGCTTGGCTATTCCCAGGGTTCCTCCTCAGGACTACTCAGCTCACCCCTTAGCTCAGGGCTACTCAACTTTGGAAGCCCCAGGGGCCACAATGATACTCACAGCACATGCTGAGGGCCGCAGCTTAAGTGTGGTAGCATGTACATGCAAATATATATGCAAAAATATGCAAATAGCCCTGCCCTAGCTCCTCTCTCACCAGAGGACTACATCCATCTCCTGTATACCTTCCCAGGAAACCAAACCACTTTTCCCAGCTGGGTTTCAGCCACCTTGTCTGGAGGGGATGGTGCAATGATGAGCTCTTGCGTGTAGCCTTTTGAAGCCATGAATGGATACAATTTTGGGGGCATGGATCCCATTGCACCAAGTGGTCACCATAACTTCTGTTATCAAGAATGGGCTGGTAGCCATGTGTTGATACCCAAGATCCCTTCCCTGAGCTTTTAGTCCTGGCCACTGAGCTAAGAGAAAAGGGAAGTCACATTGTAAGGCGGCGACTCTGGGAGTATCCTTTCTAGGCCACCCCTTGCTCTGCATTCTGCAGCCTCCCCTCTCCTCCGCCCTATGAAGTGAATCCCTTCGATCACAGACCAGACTGGTTACCTGCCTCTGGAAACACCACTAGCTCTCAGTGCTGCTAAGTCCTCCAGCCCTGTGCACTCTTGGGACTGAAATAATCCCCTTTATCAAATGAGTGGTGACAGCTTGCAGCCACAGGGAGTCTAATATGGTGAGGGGATTAGCTGGGCTTCTCTCTCAGCCTGGCCTCATTTCGTTTTCTCATTCCCCTCGGAGGGAGAGGGAGCAAAGTGCTCAAGAGCCAAACCATCTGGGTGCTGGACGCTCTCCACGTCCTGTGCTATCTTGGTTCCCATGCTGATACGAGATGTAAAGACCGACGTGTGGGTGGGAGGGTAGGACAGAGGGTGCATTCTTAACCAGTGAGAGTTCCAAAAAAATGTGCCCGTCAGCTAAAAATACTGCTATCCTAACGAAGTGCAGGGTGCACATGAGCTGCTGCTGGGAACGTGAAATGATAAAACCTTTGGAGTTGGGGTTCACTTCATCCCTGGCAGGGCTCGGTACGATGTCAAGGCAAGATCCTGAAATGGATTGGGTCTTTGAATCTCTCTCTGGGTTTTCTAGCAGCCTGGTGGCCTCCCCACCATCATATGGCCAGCCCTGCTCTTCCTCGCTGTTTGCGTAAGCTTCCAGTCACCCCACTTGGTTTTCTTTACGTTTCTCACCATTGCTGAGTCTGTGTTAATTTACAGGGAGACTTGTCAAAAGCACTCAGGGTTGGCCCAACTCTGCTCCTGCTGCTTTAAATGGCCAGGCTCCCACAGCCAGCACTACTGGCAGGGCTCCACCCTGCCAGACATTGTCTTGTGTACCCCCCCCCCAAGTTTCATCTCACTTACATCTCCTTGCTCCCAGAGTCAGGCAGGCTGCTATGCCTGAGAAATTGCTCACTTTCTCATTTTTACCATACCATTATAAAATAAATCAACTGGAATATAAATATTGTACTTATACTTCAGGGTACAGTGCACAGCACAGTATAAATAAGTCATCGTATGAAATTTTACTTTGTACTGACTTCGCTAGTGCTTTTCATGTAGCTTGTTGTAACACTGAGCAAATGCTTAGATACGCTGATGTACCCCGGGGAAGACCTCTGTGTACCCCCAAGGGTATAAGTACCCCTTGTTGAGAGCCACTGAGCTAGGCAAATGCAGAATGATTTTGAAAATCCCCCCTTGCTTTTCTTCCTCATTTTTTATTGCCCGTCCACCCCAGTAGAACACAGGGACTGGGCATCGACACTATCCCTCTGGGTAGATTTGTAAAAGTCGCTCCCTCTGGTTTTACAGTCCTTGTTGGTAGTTGGCCATTCCTAATGGTCTCTCTCTTCTTCTTTGCTCATCATGCCACTCTTCCATTGCAGTACCATTGCCATCATTGTGTGTTCTTCTCTTCGGACAACCTTTTATGAAGCCTTGCTGGCACAGCAGTCTTTTTCTTCTCCATTGTGGCATTTTTTAGGATGGCCCAGCGGCTTTCTGCATTGCTGGGTGTCATGACTTCCTTCCACTGGCCTTATTCACTGGGGTCAGATGGCAGCTCCACTGAAGTCAATGGCAAAACTCCCATTGATTTCCACAGGGAAAAGATCTCACCGTATCTTCATTCCTCCTTGCCTAGTAATGCCCTAGTACAGCTGCATTCTGTGAATCTAGTCCGTGCTAGTCTGAATTCAAGTAGCTTCCTTATTATTCTCACATCCTTGGTCAGTTTCTCTCTGTTGGTAAAAGGCAGCTTTAGAATGGATTTTCTTCTCATTGGAATATCCACTTATCGGATCATAAGTCTGTTTCTGCATCACTCAGGGAAATCTTGGGTCATTCTTGGACACAGCATGGCTAAGTATTCTTGGGTCGGCTTTAAAGTGAGTGAGAAAAGGCAGAGAGAGGACACAGGGCAAAAAGACTGAGTCGTTTTGAAACTGAAGATGAAGGAGAAGCATACTGATGCACAGAAATGTCTGTTCACAAATGCTGGGGTTGGGTTGGCTGAAAAGCAGGGATGCTTTTCACAGAACAACTTGTAAAACTTTGTCCGTGTTTTTTGACAAAAGAAATTTGAAATTTATTTTTTAAAGCCAGTTCTATCCAGTAACATGGGAAACAACCAATATTGGAAGTATTATTACTAAGGGTATGTCTACACTAGCCCCCTAGTTCAATATCCCGCGCTTCATTAGCATGTTCCCGGCCGATCGCCATTTTAGAAATTGACTAGCCCGAAGTAATTGCCCACATATTAAAGCCCTAACTTGAATTAGCTGTTATTCCTCCTGCAATGAGGTTTACCAGCTAATTCAAGTTAGGGCTTTAATTCGG